TACATCTTTTCTTTCTGCCTATCCTAAGAGCTTCAGCCATATGCATGCCAGAAATGCATAAAAAATTATGCTATGCTAATAACAATACTTGAAATATAACTTTGCTTCTGGAGAGCTTAAAGTACTTTACCACTGATCATATTTTCTTTATTTCCATTTACATGTTTGGATCATCAAAACTAAATATTAGTAGTGTTCTGGCTGAGACATAACCCTGGGCTTTCCAGAGATTGGTCAAGAGCAGATGGCATTCCTTTTGTGCACAGGGTGTTATCGAGGTGGGCAGGACTCTTCTGGATGTTAGGAAAGCGTTGGCTTCCCTAATCAGTCAGATGACATTCAGTTCATTTAAACAAACATTTTTTTGGCCCCATCTTACCTGCCAAGTTCTGTGCCATGTGCAAATCCAGGAAGGAATTTCATAATCTAATCATTGTGTCACTGCTTCCTATTCTAATCCCAAACTTCCCTTGACTGGTGACAACAGCGCACAGCTGGCTGTCAGGATGAGGGAACAGTTTGGAGGAACCTGATATCTCTCAGTCCCGTATGTATTCTTTGGCCACAGTTTAAAATGAACATATTTCTTCCCTTTCCTTGTCCCATGGGGAGTGCACTATTTTTCAAAATCCACTTCAAATAGCAAAAGCAGATCACTTGACTTACCTAGGTTGGGCTCTGATTTTTGCATCTTGACTCTTAGTTCAGGTATATGTTGATCATCAAAAGCTTCTCTTGACATTTTTCTATGCTTCAGAAAGGTCCCCATAGTGATTCAGACCATCTCCCATGTCCCAGGTTCCCCAGTAACTTCCTACCATCTACACTCAATGGATAATATGGCTTCCTACTTTACCAAGACCAATGTGTGTGTCTTAAGGTCCCACATCATATCTTTACTTACAATGTCACGTCCAGGGCTCCTGTCTCTAATTCCTCTCCATTAGTCTCGGTGAATGTGTTTCATTCCTCAAGAAAACTAATATCTCCCTGCATAGCTACCCTTCCATTCTTCCTTCATCGGAGTCATGCCATTCCCTCCACCTCAAGATCCTTGAATACCTAGGCTTTGTACTCCATCCTCTTCCTCAATCTCTGAGCATAATTAGCTGGAGTCCCCTCTAAGGAGGAGTGTCCCTCAAGTCTAAAGATCCTCTTTTCTCTGGCCTGCCATGCTCTTGCATCTTGCTGGGTCTCTTCCTATTTCTCTGACTCTTGGTATCCTGTTCCCCTATTGATTTTGGCCTCAGCTCTTCACTGTTTCCACACTGTTCTCACTGCCTTGTTTATTCATTTATTCATTCATCTGGGTTCTTTATGAAGAAGACCTACTATCTGCCTGGCACCGATCTAGGCATGGGAGCACAGCAGTGGACAGAACGAACAAGGCTGCTTTCACTGAGGAGAACCAGCCTGATGGGAGAAACAGAAAATAAGCAAGTACACACATTAAAAATACAGCAATATGGATAGTGAGAGAAGATACGAAGAACAAGAATCAGGATGATGACATAGAGAGAAGCTCTAGGAGAGGAAGGTGGCAGGAAACAAGCTTAGAGTGACCAGGGAGTGTCACTCCAAGGTGAAGTCATTTGAGGCAAGACCAAAATGACAAAAAAACAGCCATAGAATGAAGGGTGTTCCAGGAAGAGGGAACATCAGATGCTAAGGCTATAATAACAATGATATTAATAGAGGAAAAAGTTTGGTAAGTATGAGGTACATTTCTTTAAAATTAAGTGTAGCTGGAACTTTGTGGACAATGTTGTAAATTGTCCACAAGACCATGGTAGAAATGAGTGTGGAGAGATGGCCAAGGCACAAGATTGACTTCAGACCATGGTGATAAGTCTAGATTTTATTTCAGTTCTGTGAGATGCCATGGAAGGGCTTTAAGCAAGAGAAGTTGGCATCTTTTAGAATACGAAGATTGTTCTGTCTACTCTTTGGAGAATAGAGCATATGATTCACCCATTAACTGTGAGAGGAGAATTATTATTAAATTGGGAGGCCAAGTAAACATCAGTGAGAAAGGATTGAAGCTAAAATGGCAGGAAAGAGGAAGGGATAGCTTAATTTAAATGACTTTAAAACTCTCAGAACAAGGCCAAGTGTCCTTCAGGGAACTTAAGGTACTTGCAAAAGTGACTGAGAATGACTGCCAAAAATTAAGGGCCTCAGCAGAAGAATGAAAAGACTAAATGCTCCTATTTTCAATAATACAAGGCAGAAGTGGTATATGGAAAGTAGAGGTAAAATCCTCAAAGTGACCATTTACAATGGGGTGGATAAACAATTAGAAAACATTATGAATATCAGCAATCCACATGAATAGACATAAGAAAAAATCTGTAAAGCTGAACCAGTTCTTGCTGTGGTAGTTATGGCGGTGGTTGATAAAATTATCAGACAGAAAATATCTCAGTCAGTCTATGTGTTTCAGTCTCCGTGAGGCTTTCGATAAAATCATAGAACCTCAAAGATGATTGGAACTTTATCATAATCTATTCCAAATTTCTAACCGCTAGAAGATCTCTCCCCACTAAACGTCCCAGTAATTGTTTGGATAACAACTGAATTCATTTTACCTTGGAAAGGCTTGAAATGTATTGCTGAAAAGTCTGTTTTTTGTGTTAGTATAAGTCATTGATCCTGCATCTTTCCTGTGGATGACTAGATTTCTAATTCCTCTCACAGATTCTTTTTACTGTAAATTTTCGCAATGTGTCATGCCGTACATATAGAAAACAGGGAGCTATGTTTGGGTTTTATGATTGAGCAACTGTACTAAAGCATTTTAATTAGGCCAGTTGCAGTGGCTCATGCATATAATCCCAGCGTTTTAGGAGGCCAAGGCAGGCAGATCACCTGAGGTCAGGAGTTCGAGACCAGTCTGGCCAACATGGTGAAAGTCCCTCTCTACTAAAAACTCAAAAATTAGCCAGCTGTGGCAGTGGGTACCTGTAATCACAGATACTCGGAGGCTGAGGCAGGAGAACTGCTTGAATCTGGGAGGTGGAGATTGCAGCAAGCCGAGATCACACCATTGCACTCCAGCCTGGGCAACAAGAGTGAAACTCCGTCTCAAAAAAAAAAAAAGTGTTAATTAGTAGCCCAAGTCAAGGTAGAATGAAGTCTTCTTTAGAAGCAGGGACTATCTCTTCTTTTTTTCTATTGCTTTTCTTTTTTAATCCATGTTTGGATCACGCGATTGTCAAGCCTAGAGATGAAACAAGGCTAAAGAAGAGAGATATATTAGATGATTGAATCTGAATCCAATAAATGTATTAATAGAATGTGATAACTGGTTGAAACTAATAAATTTTAACATCAATAAGTGCAAAGTTTCATAATAAAATTTCCAAAATTGCCTGTACAAGACAAAATGACTCTGCAACAAGTCAAGTGAAAAATACTCAGGGATTTTAATTGAACCTAAGCTGATTTTGACTAAGATGTGGCTGTAAATGTATTTGAATAGCTATCTCCTTCAAAGCAAACATAGCCATAATTCCACTGATTTTTGCTGGTCAGACCACACAGGGACCATCAGTTCCTGTTCTGGATGTCACTTGGAGAATCATGTTGAGAATCTGAAAATCCTCCTGAAAAAGCAGCAGGTTGGTAAAGGATTGGAAACTACTAGGAAATACATTGGAAGAAACTAAGGAAGAGTAGCCCCAAACAAAAATGTCTTAGGGTGGATGTGGGGAAGAATAGCTCTTTTAAAGAGAAAATAGCATTAGGGCCACTTAATGCAGTTTGGAGAGGGAGGAGGAGTGTACGGAATTCCACTGAATATAAAGAACTTCCTTAAGCATTAGAAAAGGTGAACTTGTGAAGTAGAAAGCTCTCATCACTAAAAAAGATCAAGTCCATTCATCTGAAACGTTGTCGGGGGAAGTCACAAATTGGAAAAGAGATTGAATTAGGTCAACTTTAACTTCCCATCCAAGTTTAACACAGTATGTATGCTTTAAGGATTAGTCCTCCAAACAGCACGGAGTTTATGGCCTGATGGCTCCCTGCCCAGGAAGATCCAAGTGGAGACATTCTGTTGCTCTGTGAGATGTCAGGAGGGAGCATTTCCTGCTTCTGGTTCACTCACCGTCAGCTGTTGCTCTGCTGTTCCATTTTGGAATATCAGCCTTAAGCTTTCCCTTTTGGAAAGAGAGCAGGGGAGGACAAAAAGGAGGCTGAAGGAGAAGCTCTTGGATTACTCTTTCTTTTACTTCAGTTCCAGGCATTCCTAATCTATTATGTCAATTTGAGTTTGTAGTTGAATGGAAAGGTTCAGGTTTCCCTTCCAGAGATGGGCGGGGACACTCAAACAGCTGCTAGGATTAGGGAGTGGCTAATAGTTGGAAGAGGCCAAACACAGTCTAGCTGTTTTATTTAAAAGAAGTAATTAGAGGAAAAGGGAGAACTGCAAAGAACCCGGGGATGGAAAGAGGCGTCCTCTTCGGCCCCCCCTCCCCTTGAGCTGACATTTGGATCACCTCACTGAGTGATGAGGTGAACACAGGAACAGGTGAGCCTCATCCCTACCCCATTTGCCCTAAACAGGGATTATCTTGCTGAGTTTGCTGTGTCCGGAACCAATTAATCAAGGTTAGACAAAGGATAGACAGCGAGAACTGGAAGAGATGGGGTCGGGAAGGCGAAGCCAGGAACCGCGAACCGCGCGCCTGGCAGATGACATCATTGCCTGAAAGAGCTCTGGCCCTCCCCTTCCCGGAGCTGCGCCCGGCATGTTCTTGCGGGAGCAGAGTGGGTTTGCCTGGAGGGCGTGAGCCGAGGGCGGCAGTGCGCCAGAGCCCGAGAGAGGTGCGGAGGCGCGAGAGGAAGACCTGGAAAGACCCGCGAGCGTGCGAGCGGAGATCTCCCGGTTGGAGGTGTCTGCGCCGCTCCCGGCTCCGCCCCCGCTCCGCGCGGCGCTGGGCCCTAGGAGGGGAACGCCTGTCAGGGGGTGGGGAGTGTGCACTAGGGGGAGGGTCCGGGGCGGTGGTGGGGGCGGAGAGCCGCCTGCGCACCTCAGGGCTGACAGCACACACGGCCTGGGGGCCTAGAGAAAGGTTGCTGATCACCCGCCGCCCAGGGCCGGGGCCCCGCACCATCCGGCGGCGAGCTCCCGAGAAGGGGCTCCCCCTCTCCATCCACCCACCCCCACCTCTGAGATCGCCTGGCGAACGCGAGCTGCTGCCTTCTTCCCGGCCCCGCTGCACCTCCCCGGGGAGCCGAGGGCGGGCGTGGACGGGACCGACGTGGAACGCATTCTGTAGCCCAGACGGGCGGTCCCTGCGGCTTCGGGCGTGGGGACACGCCCAGCTGGAGAGGCGGTCAGGGCGGACCAAGCCGGAGCCGCGGGGCTCTGAGGGTCCCAGTCGGAGCGCAGCCGATCCTGGGGAGGCGAGAGGTGAATCGACCTGGACCCTTCGACAGCCCGGTTGCTAGGCCAGCAGCGCGACTCCCTTCCGAGCTGAGCTTGCCCTGCGCGCAAACTAGCGAGGCTGGGGCGCCCGTGGAAGCAAGAGTTCCGGGGTGGGCGGGGAGGCGACTGTCCGTGGTGCTGAGCGCCGGCGAGAGCGGGCGCGGAGAGGCTGATCAGCTCCCTCGAATTGGGGAGGTCCGCTGGGGTGGCTTAGGGCCCAGAACCGCCGTCCGGCTCCAAAAGTCCCCGGGGCCTCCCCAGGCACCGGTGCTAGGCCCTTCTTTGGGTCAGAAAGTCGCCCCCTGGGGGCAGTTCGTCCCAAAGGGTTTCCTCGAAAGAATCTGAGAGGGCGCAGGCCTTGACCGAAGGAATCTCTCTGTGTAGCCTCAGAAGCCGCCAGCCCCAGAAGATGCCTGCCTTCAACAGATTGTTTCCCCTGGCTTCTCTCGTGCTCATCTACTGGGGTAAGTACCAGCACCCCGCCATGCTGGATGCAGGTAAAAATAATAATGCTAACAGTAATAACACATGGATGTCCTTGGCGACAGAAAAGAGCTCTGGTTGGCTTCCCTCTGTGCATGTCTGCCAGACATGGAGATCGCAGAGGTTCCATGAGAGCTGGGATTTTGAGATGGGAAAGGCGCCTCCTCACCGCCCTGCCCTGCTATTCTCCAACCTCCTTTGGTGGTTCTTCCGCCCTTCCTCCAGTTTCCTGATGATTCCAAAGTATTTTTTTTTTTTTTTGCTTTCCCTTTGCTGAAAGGAAATGCAGTCACGTTCACCATCAAAAACCTCCTATGCAGTTATATTTCATTTCTTATCAAGGAGTCCATACTCCTGGAAAGCTTACTGGGTCTTAAAATTCATTTCTGTATTTTAAAAAACAAACATGAAAGCTGGATGCATAAATTTTGAGAGTGAAAATACTTTAGTTGCTCATCATCTGCTTCATTTTAACAAGGAATGGGGAGAAAACAGGCTTCAGCCATTTACTGCTATGTATTAAATAAATAGGCAACTGTGAAATGCATCTTTCTTCTTTGTGTGTGTGTGTGTGTGTGTGTGTGTGTGTGTGTGTGTGTGTGTGTTTTGCATGAACATGTGGAACTACGATGCTTTGGTGTTTGGGGAGGAGAACTGGGTTTTTGCCTTCAAAGATGAATAGATTCTTGCTTGTCAGCTGTGAAAGACTGAATTGACCTTCCCCCTACAAATAAGGAAATCTTACACTTGGAACAGTAAAGGCTGAGGAGAGTGTCAGAGACAGTCTTGAAGTGCCTTAACGTGTGTAAAGGAGTTAAGAGTCTATGTGATAATGTCTGATTATGTGATTGAGACAATGTTTTACTGTGTGTAAATATATCTTAGTGCCTGGATGTGTGCACTAGCGTGTGTCTGAACACGTTAGCATAGACATCTGAATGCATGGGTGACAATGTAGTAGTGTGTATGGCAAGGTGGTAGTTCTGGGCATCTCTGCCTTGGTGTCTCTGATTAGATCCTCAGATAAAATATAATGCTCTTCAGCAGATACATTGCTTTACATGATCTTAGCTACCTTCCTCCGTGCTAAAATCAATATACAGGGTAATTGGACACAATTGTACCCACCTGCCTCCCTGAAATGAGGCATGTGGGCTTATGTTCCCATGGTTGGCATGAAACTCATCCTGCCTGTACAGTGGCAGACATGATGATGGGAACTACCTCTTTGCCTTAGTATTACTTTTTCAAGCCTCCAGGACTAACTCTAGCCGCCAGCATTATCTGGATTTTGCATGTGACCAGAGGCAGAGCCAAGCTTCCTGTCAAAATGCCTGATGAGACAGGCTAGTAAGGTCGAGGAGGGAGGTAATGTCAGTCCCAAGGGCAGACTCATCACCAGCCATCCTCAGTAGAGTAGACCAGACCTGGAGATGAAGCAGACATAATAGGTTGCCAGTGATCTCACCTGCCTTGAAGATTAAGGCTAAAATTTTCTCAGGGGAGGCTAAGGCTGGGGTCATGAGGCCTAGAAGATGTTAGTCTGGCTGGATAAAAATAGTGTGGGTAAAGCCGAAGTTGTAGACAAGGACTGGGGTGAGACTCTGCAGAGACTTTCTTCCTATACTCTAATCAAGTTTTTGAGATCCCTGTCTGAATTCCAGGGGAAGGAGAGAACATGCTATCTCCACGAATCTTTTGACTAGAACTGTGCAGCCTACATTGGAGTCTCAGCTTTGCCACTAGCTTACTATGTAACACTTAGAGTGCTATCTGGTTCTTTGCGGGTAATATTTGGAAGTTGGCACAAGTGGTATTGAACATCCTTTTCAGCTCCACAGATGAATGGTAGAGAAATCTTTGAAGAATATTGCTAGAATTGACAGAGTGCCCATCCTCTCTCCGACCCCCAAAAAACTTTGGAAGAAATGTACACAGAATGCCCATCTTTGCCCATTCTCAGTTTTTTGCAACCAGACTGAAAAGCTGTGGAAGGGAAAAGGAAGTGGCTCAAGATGCCTGGTTGTTAAATGTAAGAAAAAGAACCTCCCTTCACAGGTACAGTTTCATTTCATTTGCATGTAATTCCAATATTGGACAATGCTGAGTTAGATGTGTTCCCCCTTCCCAAGTTGATTTTTTAATATGATCTACAATATGAAGGGAAAGAATCTTTCCATTTACTTTCTGCATGCATGAAAAAAGTTTTCTGGCCGGGCATAGTGGTGGCTCACGCCTGTAATCCCAGCACTTTGGGAGGCCGATGCGGGTGGATCACGAGGTCAAGAGATCAAGACTATCCTGGCCAAGATGGTGAAACCCCGTCTCTACTAAAAATACAAAAATTAGCTGGGCATGGTGATGTGCGCCTGTAGTCCCAGCTACTTGGGAGGCTGAGGCAGAAGAATTGCAAGAACCAAGGAGGCGGAGGTTACACTGAGCCAAGATAGTGCCACTGTACTCCAGCCTGGTGACAAAGTGAGACCCTGTCTAAAAAAAAAAAAAAAAAAAAGTTTTCTTATTTCCTTTATTAAAGCATGTAATGTTTTTTTAAAAAAAAAGACTTAAAAAATTAACAGAGAAGGCATCTCATCATATTGCCCAGGCTGGCCTCTAACTCCTGGGCTCAAGTGATCCTCCTGCTTCAGCCTCCCATAGTGCTGGAGTTATAGGCATGAGTTACCATGCCCAGCCTTTATAAAAAACAAACGAACAAAAACTTATAGTTGCCTGTGCATCACAGTTTACAAAGTAATTTTGAGTCCTTTGCTTCTTTTGGTCCTCATATTTATCCCTGAGGTAGTCAGGGGAAAGAGTGTTATTTCCAGTTTAGAGATGAGAAAATGAGCTCAGGGAAGGGAAAGGACTTGCTAGAGAACCCCTGTTTTCTGATTTCAGTCTTCCAATGTTCCTTCTAGCACCTCTCAAGGACACGTGCTATTATGCACAATTGCCAGGTTGGTGCCTGTCCTCCCATTTCTCTTCTGAGCTACCGTCCCCTCACTCTCCCATGCCATCACATGTCCTAGGACCTCACCCACTAGTTCCTAATGCTTTCTCTGCCCTTCCTCTCCAAGCCTGCCCTTCTGGTTGCCCCATGTGTTAGGAAGTGTTTTTCTCTCTTCCCCTAGTGGTCCTTCGTGCATCCTATTCAGGCCCTAAGTGACGAGCTAAATTGACAGACCAAGTCATGTCAGGGTGTGAGCATCTAAAAGTAACTTCATTTATTACCCATTTTTGGAAATTGTTTATATTCTAATCAAATTTTTCATTATCTCAGTGCAAAGGAAAGCATTCTAGAGCAATCTCAGGAGGAAAAATTTGGCAATGTCCGAGGAAGAGAAAGCTTTGAGGGTATCAGAGGAGTTCATAATACTTTATTATCCACCTCGTGATGGATGCTACTCCTTAATGAAATATTATCATTATTAATACACCATGTTTTTCCATCTAATAAGTTTCTTCATTATTATTATGAAAATTGAAGAGAAGAACAAAGGTCTAATGATTTGGTCAATATTATTCCAGAAGTTTGTTTCTTTTAGTCACCAACGTGGATTGAGCTCCTGCCATATTTACAGCCTTCTTTGGATGCCTGGAGAGTTTCATAAAAAGAAAGGCAGTGGTGGGCCGGGCACAGTGGCTCACGCCTGTAATCCCAGCACTTTGGGAGGGCAAGGCGGGTGGATCCCTTGAGGTCAGGAGTTCGAGACTAGCCTGGCCAACATGGTGAAACCCCATCTCTATTAAAAATACAAAAATTAGTTGGGCATGACGGTGGGTGCCTATAATCCCAGCTACTTGGGAGGTTGAGACAGGAGAATCACTTGAATCCAGGAGGTGGAGGTTGCAGTAAGCCGAGGTTGTGCCATTGCACTGCAGCCTGGGTGACAAGAGCAAAACTCTGTCAAAAGAGAAAGAAAGAAAAAGAAAGAAAGAAGAAAGAAAGAAAGAGAAAAAGAAAGAAAGAAAGAAAGAAAGAAAGAAAGAAAGAAAGAAAGAAAGAAAGAAAGAAAGAAAGAGAAAGAAAGAAAAGAAAGAAAGAAGGAGGAAGGAAGGAAGGAAAGAGAAAGAAAGAGAGAGGAAGAGAGAGAGAAGGAAGGAAGGAAGGAAGTAAGGAAGGAAGGAAGGAAGGAAAGAGAGAAAGGAAGAAAGAAAGAGAGAGAGGAAGAGAGAGAGAAGGAAGGAAGGAGAAGGAGGGAGGGAGGAAGGAAGGAAGGAAGGCAGTGGTGTGCTGAAGACTTAAAGGATGGAGTTGAAGCAAGGTGCAGCAAGTCATACTGCAAAAGGTAAGCAAACAGAGGTAGGGAGACTTTGTGGCCGTTTTTCAACATGCTCTCCAAATCATATAAGCAGAGTTCTTATGCCCTGGAGCTGGATTTTGACCAGAAGGGAAGCAGTGGCACTTGCTCTATGATGATAACTTGAGTTATTGTCACCTCAGGGACAACCTAGAAAAGAGAGGGGCTACCCCACTTGCTGCCATACCACTAGAGCACATCACCTCTCACCTATTCAAAGATGTTAATCCAGCAAATCATTTTCTTTCAGACTCCACCAGCTCTCCTGTCATCTTCACTCACAAATCGTCTTCCAATCTGACCCCTGTTCCAGGCCTCTTAGCTGTTTTGATTCCACCCTTGTCCCTTTCGCCTCTTGTTTACTCCCAACACAGCATCCGATCATGTGATCTTGTACAAATCAGATCCCATCATTGTTCCTCTCAGAACCTTCTGCCGCTCCCACGTTACTCTAAGCAAATGCCAAGGTTCTAACATGGCCAAGAAGACCTGCTGTGATCTGACCCTGCCCATCTCTCCTCCTACTTCATCCACTTCTGTTCTCACTCTGTTTGCTGTAATTACCAGTGAGCTCTTGGCTGTCTGCTGCACATAACAAACACACTCCTTTGGGCCCCTTGAGCCCTTGAGTTGCAATTTCCTATTTGACGGACCTTCACACAGATATGTGTATAGCTTTTATCCTCATTTCTTGTCTTCAGTGCCTGCTCAACGATACCTTCTCAGAAAGGCCATCCTCCAATGACCTTGTGCACATGCTCTCTCCTGCACTCTGTTGTATTTTTTCTCACAGCACTTTTTACAATTTAATGTTACTGTTTTTCCTCTCCTGCCACTGGAATGCAGGCTCCATAAAACAGGGATTCTTCTATTTTGTTCTTTTGTGTATTCTTCATAGAATAACGCCTGGCACTCAGTAGGCACTCAGTATATTTGTGAAATAAACAAAGGATAGAATAACACGAATAATAACATTTGTACAAAGAATGTTCAAGTAAATTAATCCATAGAATTCTCATGATAAATCTACTAGAGAGATATAATTTTCAGCATTATGTTGATGAATAAGCTGAATCTCAGAGAGATTACATAGTACCTCAAACCCAGCTCTTCAGTTGCCAAATTCTACCTTCACCCTGCCTCTATAATTGTAACTGTGCATTCCTTGAGACTTCCTAGTCCACTTCTGAGTTTGTCAACATGAAATGAATGAATTTATGTTTACTAGCTCTCATTAAATATGAATGTGCTTCAAGGCTCCATGCTACACAGAGTTCCTGCTGTAGACCCTCTACCCCTCTGCCCACTCACAAACTTTTGCACAAACCACATTTCCTTTTTGTTTAATCAGATCTATAATCAATACTTCAAACTCATCACATGCTGAAGATGTTTCTGATTAGTTCTCCCTAGATGTGGGCCATCTCTGTATTAAAGTGGCTCACCATCTGCAGAAGCACTAGGCGTCTTGAAGACTGCCGGATAAGACTCACCAAGCTTGCTGGAGACTTGAAATACCGGTGAAATGTATTTTACCTTGATTTTTAAAACTTTAATTATAGTGCCACTGGTTTTTAAACTCTATGTTTTGAAATGAAATACACTGCCTTCTAAGTCAATTAAACACAGTATTAGGTTTTTGACTCAAAATTAATTTATGTCACTGTTAAGCTCTAAATAAAGCTTTCCTCTGCTTTTAGGAAAGAACTCTGTCAGTAGATGAGTAGGCTGACCATTAACAGTGGACTAGTTTCTAAATGTCAGTGGTATTATTTCTTTTTTTCTGGGGGTTCTGTTTTTATTATTAATTCATAGAAAAGTTGCATCAGAAGGGATCTTTAAAGTCCTAATGTCAGAATCCATGGTGGCTATCTTACTTTTTTTTTTTTTTTTAAGAGATGGAGTCTTACTCTGTCAGCCAGTCGGGAGTGCAGTGGTGCGATCATAGCTCATTGCAGCCCCAAACACCTGGGCTCAAGCAATGCTCCCACCTCAGCCTCCTGAGTAGCTGGGTGCAGTTGTATGCTAGCGTGTTTGGCCAGTTTTTATTTTATTTTATTTTTGTAGAGTTGGGGGTCTCACTATGTTGCCCAGGCTGACCTTCGATCCCTAACATCAAGCAATCCTCCCACCTTAGCCTCCCAAAGTGCCAAACAATGCTGTGTACACTCTCTTACCATACCGTTATTTGCATTTGTGAACAGCTCCAAAATCAGAAAATTCTTTTTTTATTGCATGAAACTTATTTTTCTCTTATGACTTTTGGGGTTGGGCAGAATCAAATTTCTCTTCCACCTGCCAGCTGTCAAATATTTGAAGACAGATATGTTCTGCGTCCAAGTTAGTAACTCAAGTCCTCACATTTGTTCCTCCCCAGGCTTTCTCTCCAGACCCTTCACCATCTCCCTTACCTCTGTCTGGGCTTGCACTCTTTGAACAACTTCCTTTTTTAAAATGTGACATCCTGAACTGATCATAATAGTCCAGATTTGTTCCAAAAACAGTACCGAGGAGCTACGCCTCCTTCCTCCTCACACTGTACATCTGTTAATGCAGCCCAGATTTGCACATGTTTTGCTGGCAGCCGTGCTCCACTCAAGTTATTCTGAATTACCAAGCTGATATACTTGCCTCTTTTTAAAAAATAGACTTCAAGTTTCTGGAGGGCAGAAACTCTAAATCCAGACTTCCTTGTGGCATGCAAGGTGTCCCACAGTCTGACCCCGTCCAGTTTTTCCCCTGCCTCACTATACTCTGCATAGAGCATTGCTCCAGCCCGGCGGTCCGCTCTCCATTTTCCTCACTGCTGCTCCAGTCTCCACCATGTGTCAGAATTACCTACAGTTTTCATGCAACACGACATAACTACATCTCTCCATGGCTTTAAAACATTTGATACCTCACACCGGCAGGGACACAGAGGTAGCCTCACATTTCACCACCCTCCTCTTTCTTTCCCCCTAGGCCAACTGGGAGTAACTAACTGCCTGTCTTCTAAGAACAGAACACATCACGAGTGTGTTAGTTGCTGTGGTCTGGTTTAATCATAGTTAGGAATATGTGTTCCCTATTAGATTATAAATGCATTTAGGACGTGGTTAGTGTTTTGGTCATCTTTGCATCTCTATTCTAGCATCAGACCTGGCAGAGAGTGGATTTTAATGAATGGTAGTGGAATGAAGGGGATGGATGATCGCTAGGTAGGCACATGTCCTGTCTCCCACTTGGGCTGTAAGACTTAGAGGGCAGGGCTCAAGTATAATATACTGTGGCGCATCTCCACTGCTCCCAGGGGAAGAATTTCAGTCCATGTCTGGATCATCTAGGTCTCGTCTCTCTAACTGTGTACATGTTCCAAGCTTGTACACTAGGGAGCCCAGGTGAGGCTGTAGACACTTGCAGGTGGCTTTTATCAAGTTCATCTCATGACTCTTCCTTCTCTGTCTCTCCTCCCCTTCTCCTTGTTCTCCATCGCCTCTCTCCTGTGGCCCCTCCCCTCCCCCACCTGCTGTTCCTTCCCTGCCTGTCCTCTCTGCAGTCAGTGTCTGCTTCCCTGTGTGTGTGGAAGTGCCCTCGGAGACGGAGGCCGTGCAGGGCAACCCCATGAAGCTGCGCTGCATCTCCTGCATGAAGAGAGAGGAGGTGGAGGCCACCACGGTGGTGGAATGGTTCTACAGGCCCGAGGGCGGTAAAGATTTCCTTGTATGTTAGACTGCTGACTCTGGCCTTTCTTCTGCTGGCCTCTGCTGTTCTGAGCCTGGCTCCTGACAGCCTGGGGAATGCCAAGCTAGCAAACACTGGCTCTTTCTCTTTCAAACACTGACAGCTCCTGAGCAGATAACTGACAGCCTTAGTTTCGCCCAGCTTCTGTGAAAGAAAGGGCACTGGGCCAGCTGTAAGCACCCTTGGTTATAGGCCGGGGAAAGCAGAGAAAACGATAAGCTACATTTAAAGCCTGCTATGTGATAGGCGCCCTACCAGGCATTTTGCAGCTGTTTTCGTTTAACCTTCTGCGCAATCCTATTATATGGTTTAAATTAATAAAGAAACTGGAATAACACAAAGCATCATTATGTGAAATAACAAAGCTTGGCTCCTTTAACTCCCACAATCCCAGTGAAATAGGAATGACAGGAATGACCAAGAGTGGTCCAAGGGAGATACTCACCTGGGACACCCAGTACAGCCACACCAGCGAGTAAACTATTTTAGACAGTTCTCCCATGGACACTTGATGTGCCCCGTCTCCTAAATGGCCAAACCCCCAGATCTCTCCATGATTTGGAAACCAAGAGATTCACTCTTGGCAGAGGAAGGAGTCTTCTGGATTCTGTTTCTGCACCATAACCAATGTCAGTTCTGCCTGGTTGGTGCCAGTGGTGAAGTGGTTGTCATATTTTTTTCTCTCTTTCTCTTTTGAGACAGAGCCTCCCTCTGTCACCCAGCTGGAGTGCAGTGACACAATCACGCTCACTGCAACCTCCGCCTCCCAGGTTCAAGCAACTCTCCCACCTCAGTCTCCTCAGTAGCTGGAACTACAGGCACGCACCACCATATCCAGCTAATTTTTGTATTTTTAGTAGAGGCAGGGTTTTGCCATGTTGGCCAGGCTGGTCTCGAACTCCTGACCTCAGGTGATCCACACAGCTCGGCCTCCCAAAGTGCTGGGATTACAGGTGTGAGCCACCGCACCCAGTCGGTTGTCATATATTTTGAATACTACCTTGGAGATGACCATTATTTGCTCTTTCACTGACTCTGGAGCCAGGTTGCCTGGGTTTGACTCTTGACTTCACACTTACTACCTCTGTGTCCATGGACATGTTGGTCAACCTTTCTGTGCCTCAGTTTCCTCATTTTTCAAGTGGGGATATAAAGCATAGCCAAATTACAGCACTGTTACCAGGACTCATGAGCTATAATTTTTAATGCATTAAAAATAGTTCCTGGAATGTAGTAAGCACTATGTTAAGTATTTGCTAGAGAAAAGACATAGACACAGAAATGAGGAAACTGAGGCTCAGAGAAGTTAATACGACAGCTTAGACTTGAGCCAGGTGGTCTCACAGCAGATACAAGGCCCTTTTCATGGCACTGCTTTGCCTTCCTGGGGACAAGATTCTCTTCTACAAAGATTTGTAATGGAGACAACGGAAGGGTGAAACTGGGTTTAGCTTGCTCTTCTTTCTTGCTATCCTAAAGCTGAACTCATTTCTGACTCTGGCTTCTATGTGCCATTCTGATGTAGATTCGTTATAGTCAGGTGCCAAGACTGGGACCAGCAGAGACTTCCCAGAGCCTAACTCAGGCTTGACAGTGACACATCAATGAAGCTACAGCTGAGGCTAGCCCCCAGCTGTAGGAGGCTGGAAGCCTTGGCCAGATGCAAAGGCCCCCAGGGGCTTCAGGCCCGGTCATGTACCAGTTATAGCTGCCCACATTTCTTCTAGGCCTGCCCAAAGTGTGGAGAGGGTGGATCAGAAGGAGAAGAACATGAAAAATGAAACAACAGCAAAAAACCCATGGAAATCCAGAACAATGCTGTCTCATCGAGATGCGTGTGATGGTGGAAACCTCTATGTGCTGTGTGGTACAATGCCCACCAGCCATATGTGGCTATGAATAATTGAAATGTGGCCGGTGCCACTGAGGAGCTGAATTTGACATTTTATTTAATTTCTAGGAAATTGAATTTAAGTAGCTAGTGGAGACTGGAATAGACAGCACAACTGTAGTGAGAGAGGAAGAAAAGGTGTGTTATGTCAGAGGGTGGAAGTGTTGAGAATGTAAAAGATGAGATTTCAGTTAAAATTCAGTCCAAGGCAAAAGACGTGACATGTGCCTCTCTGGTGATGGCTCTCTGCTCATCCGCCACATTTCAGCATCCTAAGCCCTCTTCCTGTGGCCTGGCCCAGACTGTCCCACAGCCCCTGAGGAGTACCAGCACAGAGAGTCCAGTTTTAAAGCCAGGGCTGTCAGATGTCGTCATTACTAATGAAACTGCCTATCTTGCTGTCTGTATGTTGTTCTCTCGCTGGTGGTCCTGGGACACATCTTACTCTTGTTTTCTCCTTCTATCTCTTTCAAATCCTGTCTTTCTCTCAATATCTCCCTCCTGGTCTCCCATACCCTTCTCCCACCTGCCTTTGTTCTCCCTCTTTCCACCGCTTTTTTCCTGCCAAGCTTCTTCCTGCCCACCCCTTGCTGCCTCTGTCCTCACCGTGACTATATGCCCTGATGCCCGCTGCCTCTGCCTGTCCTTCTCTGTCTTTGCTCTCTTTCCTACCCTCCTCTGTGCCTCTTCATCCCACCCCCACATTCTGGGTCTCCTGGTGACACGCTCCCCTGTCTTCCCTGTCCATGCACAATTCTGCTCCTTTTCTCTGCCCTGTCCCTAACTCGGCTTTTCCCCCATCCCCTCTCCTGGCCCTACCTTCTTCTGCTCCTCTATCTGCAGATCTATGAGTATCGGAACGGCCACCAGGAGGTGGAGAGCCCCTTTCAGGGGCGTCTGCAGTGGAATGGAAGCAAGGATCTGCAGGACGTGTCCATCACTGTGCTCAACGTCACTCTGAATGACTCTGGCCTCTACACCTGCAATGTGTCCCGGGAGTTTGAGTTTGAGGCGCATCGGCCCTTTGTGAAGACGACGCGGCTTATCCCCCTAAGAGTCACCGAGGAGGGTGAGGCTGAGGCACAGGGTCTCTAGAGCGTCCTGCTCTCTGTGGGCAGGGCAGGGCCGGATAGCAGGTCTCCACGTGAGCGAGATCCTTAAAGGGTGCAAACGCCCGGGTATGTGGAATGGTGACATCTAAAAATGTCACCATTGACCCATCTGCCTTTGGTGGCCAGCTTCTTGTAAACTGCCCAAGGAGCTTATCTTTCTGTGCCTTTCCTCAAAGCAGAAAGGCTTGGAGATGGTAGAATAACCTCTTCCCGGTCTCTTAGAGAAAGACGCTAGCCTCCACAAGGCTGAAAGCTACTGATTCAGCCAGGCCTGTTGAATTCCTCTGGCCTATGTTGAATCCCTGACTCAGTGGGCTCAGAGAAATCTCAGAAGTGATCTCTCCTTCTGCCTGTGAGAAATGCATGCCTCTAAACCAGGAGTTCTCAAATTTTAGCAAACCTCAAATTCTCCTGCAGGGTTTTGTGGAGCCCAGGCTTTCTGCTTCTGACGGCGGGGCCTTAGAGTTTGCATTGCCTGACACATTGACACACAGGCAGTGCTGCTGCTGCAACCACACTTTGAGAACCGCTCTCTAAACTGAAGTTTCACAATCTTTTCTTCTTTTGTCTTTCTTCACAATAATCATACATGCAACCCCTTCCCCATCTCTGTGGCATCTCTTATTACATGAATTCATTCTCTGCTGGGAGAAGGGGGACAGGTTGGTAGCTCTCTATTCTTACTTAAAATCTTTGGACTCCTACAGCTAGTTCCCTGTTGGTGAGTGGGAAGTCCTTTCAGCAGCCTAACTCACGTGTTTCTGTTGCAAGTGGAATCCAGCCTCCTGAGGGTGGAGTTCCAGCCTTTCTCGGTCTATGGCCAGCATTATTACTGCCCCGAGAGGCAGGCTGGGGAGCAGGCCAAAGTGTGGGGCATGAAAGAAAAGATCAAGCTAGACAGGGCTCTTCCTAGAAAAAAGGATCCAGGAATACCAACCTCCAGGCCACAGGTTTATTCATTTTTTATCATGTCATTGTGATAAAAATAGGCGAAGATTCGGTCCTCAGAGTCAATGAACGAAGGAGAAAGAGACATAATGGTCAGACGAGGTAACTAAAATGGAAGGTAGGTCAATTCTGCAAATGCAGAAGGACGCTTAGGCCTCCTGAAGAGTCACTTCCCTGCTCTGAGCCGTGCTTCTCTGGTGTGAAATGAGGGGGTTGGATGCGGGGGGAGGTGCTCTGTAAGGTACTGTCCTGTTCTGAAATTCCTTTATTTCCCCGTTTATTACACACCTTTCCCTGGCGCCCTCTCCTGGTCACCGTCTGGAACTGTTGGTGCCAGCCTGCCCCTAGCACAGTGCACAACAGTCTCCACCTCCAGCTCTCTCAGGCTTTTTCCTCCGGAGACCCTTGTGCATAACTGGTGGAAAGTGTGGCAAGGCTGAGCTAGTTCGTCTGCCAGGCACCAGAGCAAGCCTCGGGTAAAATCAGAAGGAAAAACAAATTTATCATCAGAGCCACAGAGCCTCGTGGATGGTCGGGTTTGGAGGAAGCATGGATATCATTTATTTAATCCAGGGCCTCTACATAAAGGGCAGGCATCAGAATGACCCACACTGACTTCTTCCAAACCTAGTCACCTCTGCAGCACCCTTGCAGGTGTGAGATCGGCAGGGGTGGGTGAGGCTCCGCGCAAGTTGAATGAGTCCCCAGCTATTGGAGGGTGCAGCTCTGGTGCGCCTCAGTTTCTGGCTGGGAGAACAGAGTTCACTGCAAGAGCAAGGGGCTTGCTCAGGGACGTGAAGCAAGTTAGCACTGGAAGCAGGAGGAAAATCCAGATTGTTTGCCTATCCGGCTGGCTTTCTTTCCACTGCTTCTTTTCCCACCCCCACTACCCCAACCCCTGCCACTTTTTCTTTTTTGCTTTTCTTTTTTTGCCTCTGTGACATCAGATACTCCCTGCCCTCATCTTGCTCAGAGCTACGCGCTCCACCATAACACCTGCCCCCAACCCCACCATCTCCTCCATTCCTGTGGTCCCCAAAGGTGTCCCTGGTTCTCTTTGTTCAAGTTGGGTTTATTCTGGCTTAGGCTGTCACCTCCTGCTCCTAAGGCAGAAATCTGAGGCCTCTTCACCTGGAGGTAACTAAAAACACTGAAAACAGCTTCCCTTATTACCATTTGTGGGCTACTGCATTTTGAAAGAGAAAGCATGCTTTATGCCAAACAAATCACAATTAAGTGGTAGCAAGCCCGTGAGAAGACGTTTGAGCTGCACAGCATTCTCATGTGCCTCATACTGCATCTAAGACCTCCAGCTCCAGCTGGGAAACCTAGATGATCCTGGGGCCTTTGGACTGCTCCCTGGGCTGATAGTTATGGCAGGCTGTGCTGTACTCTTAGCAAGCAAAGACTTGGGTATGGCTTAGATCCTGTGGATAACTGCAGATCATAAATCTGACTTGCTTTTGAGAGCTGGCAAGGGGAGAGGTGGCTGCAACATTCCTCCCACTAGCAAGGAGTATATACGACAGGATATCTGCTATGTATTATGTTTTCATGATCCTTTTTGTTGATCATGAAACAAATAAGATAATATTTATATTCACTCATTCAATAAATACTTATTGAGCACTTTAAATACATAGCAGGCAGATAATCCAGAAAGAAATATGTTCTCAATAAGCACACGGTCCACAGAAAAGAAAGATAAACACATCACAGTACAACTCTTATAATGGATGAGAAAAGTACATGGAGGCCAGGTGCAGTGGCTCACGCCTGTAATCCCAGCACTTTGGGAGGCTGAGGCGGGAGGATCACCTGATGTCAGGAGTTCAAGACCAGCCTGGCCAACATAGTGAAACCCTGTTTCTACTAAAAGCATAAAAAATTAGCTGGGCATGATAGTGGGCGCCTGTAATCTAGCTACTTGGGAGGCCAAGGCAGGAGAATCGCTTGGACATAGGAGACAGAGGTTACAGTGAGCTGAGATCATGCCATTGCACTCCAACCTGGGTGAGGATAGCGAAACTCCATCTACAAAAATAAAGAAAGAAAAGTGCATGGAGAGGTTGTGAGTATCTCTGCATGAGAAGTTGGGGAAGGTTTTACAAAAGAGAGGACCTCAGAAGAATCTAGAACTAGTGGGAGACTGAAAAGCTGGAGAGGATGTTAGCACAGAGCTAGCAAGGGTGAGAGGCGCAACCCAGGAAGAGGGTAGAGGAAGAAAGGTCCACAGTTCTAACATACCATCGTGTGTAGCAGAAGTTTTTCTGGCCAACCAAATGGAAACGAAGTAGGAAAGGCTGGATTGTGAAGGCCTTTGCATGTCACATGAACAGAGTTGGGGCTTCATCTTAAGGGCACTGTGGAGCATTGAAGAGTTTTAAGCAGGGAAATGGCAGGATCCTGTGTTTCAGAAGCATAGCCCCGGGGACAATGTGGTTGCTACATTAAATCCTCCAATACTCATTTATGTTTGGTTTGGGGATGACCTGGAAGGTCTCGTTTATAACCCAGACTTGAAGAGAACTTGTGCGAGCTGTCTGTGTTGGCCCTGAATGAATTTTCCGATGTTCTCTCTTCAGGAATACCACCCTCCACCCCCAGCAGCGCACAAGATAGAGGCAGTTGAAATAAGGCATGTTCCTACATCTGTGTAGACTTTTAATCTCACAACATGTTCTGAAATACATTAGATAGTGTAATATTCACAAACCCCTGCTTGGTGTTATTATCCTCATCCTACAAATTAAGAAACTGAGTCTTAAGTAAGGAAAATGGTTGTTGACACACCTGTAAACAGCAAAATGGAGAGCCAGCTCTAGATAGCTCACTTTGAGGCCAGGATTCCTTCCACTGCCCTGCTGCTTCTTGCAGGCACCCCACTCCCTCATCCCTGTCTCCTGAGCAGCCAACGACAGTCAGTGAGAAAGCCAATTAATGGGAGAGTCAGAATTTGGAATTCCTTTGATATCTTCTTGAGTTTATTTAAGCTGTACTTAAAAATATGGCTCCAATGACAGCCCTGGGTTTGTTGGACGTGCATATTCTGAGCCTCATTCTCTTTCTTTCAGCCGGAGAGGACTTCACGTCTGTGGTCTCAGAAATCATGATGTACATCCTTCTGGTCTTCCTCACCTTGTGGCTGCTCATTGAGATGATATATTGCTACAGAAAGGTCTCAAAGGCTGAAGAGGCAGCCCAAGAAAACGCGTAAGTCCAAAGATGCCAAAGTCATACGAAAGCAAGCGCCTCCGGAATGCTTGCTCTCACGGGTGAGGTGCTAAGCAATTTACATTCATCCTCCACCCTCTTCCTGATAGCTACTTAAGAGATAGGTACCATTATTATACCCATTTTACAGATGAGAACACTGAATTTGGGAGAGTTTGCTTAAGGCCATTGTAAGAAACAAAGCAATGTTTGAATTCAGGCCCGCTGATGCTTGGCTAGCACACTTAACCATTAAGGCAAAGACCATAAGCTGCCACCACAACCCATTAAAGTAACATTATTATGGCTGGGCATGGTGGCTCACGTCTGTAATCCCAGCACTTTAGGAGGCTGAGGTTGGTGGATCACCTGAGGTCAGGAGTTATAGACCAGCCTGGCCAACGTGGTGAAACTCTGTGTCTACTAAAAATACAAAAATTAGCTGGGCATGGTGGCACACACCTGTAATCCCAGCTACTTGGGAGGCTGAGGCAGGAGAATTGCTCGAACCCAGGAGGCAGAGGTTGCAGTGAGCCGAGATCATGCCACTGCACTCCAGCCTGGGCAACAGAGCAAGACTCCATCTCAAAAACAAACAAAAACGACAACAATGTAACATTATTATTGCTATTCTGTAAATGCCAAAGCAGACTTATAGCAGCTTACCAAGGCACACAGATAGTGTGAGGAAAGGCTGGGATGTGAACCCAGGTCTCTTTAGTCCTTATGTCCATGCTCTTTCTATCACATTTAACTGTTTGCTTTATACCATGGAACTCCTCAGGCCATCTGGACACTACCCTTTGCTGGCAAAGAAGCTCCAAGCAACATGTTCTTTCCCCTAGAACCTGGCAGTGATGGCATGTCCAGAGTGGGGACTCTAATCCGCAAATGTCCAGCCTGTACCTTAGCCATTTGCTCTGAGACTCTCGTCCCTCAAGGGTGAGCACATTTGAGAAATGATGACATCTGTAAGAGCAAAGAGTCTCAGAGATCATGCTGGCTGGCTGTCTGGGGCTAGGAAAGGTAGAAAAAACCCACAGATTGCTAGCAACATTGCTAAGGCAAACCCTAGAAAGTCTAGGCTCTTACCAGTTAGAAATGTTTGATAAAGAAAGTATCATTTTGCATGATATCTATGATCTTAGGGAAGTAAAAGATTACAACTGACTGGATATAAGGAGAGAACGAAGTGTGATGCTGAGAAAGGTGGTAATTCCTGGTGACTTAGGTGCTTGGGATTTACTGCTTGGATAGGAAGGACCTACAATTGGGCCTGCACAAGAAACAGAGTGGAACCGTGGCCCTCTGCAGAGCTAGAATCCTCAGAAGGTTACAACCCACATAAAGGGTAGACTAGAAAATAATCAGCCCATCAACCCAGGGAAAAGCCAAGGAAACTTAGCCTTCTTGGCCTAACTCCAAGTAGAAAAATAAAGATTCTTGAGAGTTAGTAACTACAAGCCTGCTCTCACAGTGTTTGAGATTTAAATGTATACCACCCATATGACCCAGGAACCTCTAAGCTGAGAAATTCTGTAAAAATTAGTCCCCAGCCAGTGATACCTATGAACGTCTTATAGAAGAAAATGAAAACCATTCTGAAGGAACCCATTCTCAGCCAAGGCCTAATAGGAGTCCCCAGAGAGAGCACTGCTGGATCTGATTCCACGGTCCAGTCCAAAACTAAAAGACATGGCGAAAAGCCATCCAGCAGGAGCAAGAGTGAATCCTAGGAGCTTTAGACACAAAAAGGATCTGACCAAGTATAAAAAATAAGCTTGCCTAGTGCAGTGGCTCAGACCTGTGATCCCAGCACTTTGGGAGGCAGAGGAGGGAGGATCACTTGAGTCCAGGAGTTTGAGACCAGCCTGGGCAACGTGGTGAGACGCCATCTCTTAAAAAAATCAAAAAATCAGCTTGATGTGGTGGTGCGTACCAGTGGTCTCAGCTACTCAGGAGGCTGAGGAGGGAGGATCGCTTGAACGCAGGAGTTTGAGGCCGTAGGGAGCCATTATTGTGGCACTGCCCTCCAACCTGGGTGACAGAGCAAGACCTGTCTCAGAAATAAATAAACAATAAAAACAAGCTTGTTTAAACAGAAATAAACAATAAAAACAAGCTTGTTTAAACAGACCAATAAAAGAAAAAAAAGCATAAGAATAGAGTAAGTTTCTAAGATAAAAGAACAGGCAGATTCAAACAGAAACAAAAAAATCTGGAAGTGAATGGTTCTACAGAAGATTAGATGCTGATAACCAGAAGATAAATGTGAGAAAGTTCTGCAGACTGAAGCACAGAGATGGGAAAAGACGAGCCATGCAAAGAAATCTGAAGGAAACAAATGGCAAGGTGCATGAGAATAGAACGGGGAATGGAGGAGAGACAGTGTTCAGACACAGGGCGGCTGAGGGAGGGATGACGCTTCAGATTCCAGAAGCGTAATATGCCCTGAGCAAAATAAATAAAATACATCTACACCTAGACACCAAACATCTTTTCTTTTTTCCTTTTTTTTTTTTGAGATGGAGTCTCACTGTGTTGCCCAGGCTGGAGTGCAGTGGCACGATCTCGGCTCACTGCAACCTCTGCCTCCCGAGTTCAAGTGATTCTTCTGCCTCAGCCTCCCGAGTAGCTGGGACTACAGATGCGCGCCACCATGCCTGGCTATTTTTGTATTTTTATTAGAGACAGGATATCACCATATTGGACAAGATGGTCTCAAACTCCTGACTTTGTAATCCACCCACCTCAGCCTCCCAAAGTGCTGGGATTACGGGTGGGAGCCACCGTGCCCAGAAAACACCAAGCACATTCGAAGTAATAAACGGCAGCTACTAAGATAGCCTACAGCAAATATCATCTATGTGTTGAAACCTCAAATTCCTGTAATATCAGAAACATATCAAGGATACTACCTCTCCCTGTTTCTATCAATATTGTATTGGAAATCCTAGGTGAAGACCAAATAAATACCAAAAAGAAAAAGACTTGGAAAGGAAGAAACTAAATTATCATTATTTATACCTATTATTTACAAAAGTCACCTAAGCAAATCTATAAAAATGCCATTAGGACTAGAAAGAATATTCTACAAAATTGTTGATACAAATCAAAATATAAAAATTATCTATATTCCAGCAACAAATTTAGTAACATATTTAAATATTTAAAATATTAAAATGCTTTTAAAGTTACAGTAGCAACAAATACTCTCCAGTTCCTGGGATAAAGGTGACAAAAATGCATAAGACATTTAAAGAAAAAGTCACAAACCTTTACGAAAGACCTTAAACTTAACTAGATGGAGAATAAAACCTCACCATTGTAAATGATTTTCTCCCAAATGAATCTTCAAATTCAATGAAATTCTAATCAAAATGCTCATTAGATTTCTCAAAGCATTTAATAAGCTGATCTTAAAAGTCACATGGAAGGCTAAGTGGCCCAAAATAGTCTAAACCAAGGGACAGCTAGAAAATAAGTGTTTTAGGCTTTGCTGGCTCCATAGGTCCCTGTCATGTATTGTTCTTCTGTTTGTTTGCAAACAACCATCCTTAGCTCTTAGGCCATAGTTTGCCCACACCTGGTCTAAACCATTTCAAAGAAAGAGCAGTAAATTTGCAAGAGGTTGGTAGGATTTGTCTTACCAGAGATGAAGGTTTCTTACAGAGCTATCAGAATACACAGTTTGTGATACCGCATAGGCATACAAAATGGAAAAACAAAGCAAAAAGCCCCAATCAGGTTAATGCATGTAGGAAGGCCTGATATGTGACAGAGATGACATTATAATCATTAAAGGAATAATGAACTGCCCAGTAAGTGGTCCAAGGAAAATTCCTAATCCACATAGAAACAAACAAAGAAAAACGAAAAACCAAATTAGATTCCCCAGCTCTCATACTAAGCCAAAATAAACTGTGAGTGGATTTAAACACGAAGTAAAACGTCAAGCTTGAAAATTCCATTAAGGGAATGTAAGAGAATATATCACCTTAGAATAGAGAGGATTTCCCAAACAAAACACAAAAGGCACAAATCAAAGAGGAAAATAATTTTGATTATATTATACATAAAAAATCAACTGTTCATTAGGAAACTCCATAAGCAAATTTCATAGACAAGAGACTGGGAGAAATTGTCAAGACATGAAACCATCAAAGAAAAATCAATTAGGAAAAGACAAAGATCTCAGAAGAACTAGAAAGCAAATGAACAGTCAGACAGCTGTCAGACCAACATTTTATTTTATTTATTTTATTTTATTTTTGAGACAGGGTCTCACTGTTGCCAGGCTGGAGGGCAGCAGTGCGGTCACGGCCTTGACCTCCCAGGCTCAGGTGATCCTCCCACCTCAGCCTCCCAAGTAGCTGGGACTATAGGCAGATGCCACCATGCCTGGCTAATTTTTGTTTTTTTTTGTAGAGACAGGGTTTAGCCATGTTGCCCAGGCTGGTCTTGAACTCCTGGGCTTAAGCACTTTTCCTGCCTTAGCCACCCAAGCGCTGGGATTAGAGGCATGAACCACCACCCCGGGCCAATTGGCCAACATTTTAATCTAACTAAATGCTGAAGACAACATGGATAAAAGAGAAGCTATACACTGCTGTTGGGTGTTCATATACATATATGCATGTGGGGAATGATTATTTTAATCTGCAGAAAGCCTCTTTGTGTTCCTCTTGGGAAACACATGCAGAAGGAAATGCAGAGCCGTTCTGTAGATCCTTGCTCCTCTGCCCTGCTCCTTCCTCCCTCTTGTGTTCCCACCCCAGGTACTGAAGCTCTGACTCCCTTTCCCTATGTCCTCTATAGGTCTGACTACCTTGCCATCCCATCTGAGAACAAGGAGAACTCTGCGGTACCAGTGGAGGAATAGAACAGGAGTGGTGTGACATGAGGTGACCCACAGGAACACAGGAGGGGAAGGCAGATGTGGATGGCAGGTTGTACAAGTGACTTTGTCACCCACAACGGAAGTGACTTTAAATTTGGTCCCTTAGGTCACTGTCTATCCTGCCCAGGGTCCCCACCCTCAGGGTAATTCTTTAAGTCACAAAGCTCTTTATAGTGTCAGCCCTTTGGAAGGTGAACTGCTTTGGCCTGCGTGTCAAGGCAACCTGAACTTGCCCATGGTAACAGAGGCACAGGAAGTCTCCAACTCCCTTCTTTGGTCAAAGAATTTTTGGGCTGGGCTGGGCTGGGCTGGGCTGGACTGGCCTGGAAATTCTCAGTGAGTTGTTTTATCTTTGGTAGGTGGCCTGAACACCTGAGGGACTGGACATCCCGTGTTCAGCAATGTCAACAGCATCAGGAGGGTGCCCCAAGGGCCTCGTCGCTTTCCTTCATGCATCCATCCTTCTATTCATTCATCCATACATCCACCTGCCTCTGAGCTTTCACCTCTGATTTCGTAACTCCATCAGACCCCTATGCACCATAAGACTTTGCCAGAACGGAGAAGCCAACATTTCTTCATAGACTCAACCTCACCCTGTCGTAGTTTTCCAACAAGACACTCCAAAGCCAACTGGATTTCTCCCCTGTGCTCCAAATGACTTTGTACAAGTGCTGGTGTCAGCACCTCCCTCTGCCCTTAACTGGCTGGAACGGGTTCATTCTCCATTACTGTAAGAGAATGGATGTCTTAATAGAAGGAAGCAGGTGTGATTAGTTCAGGTTAAAGCAAAAGTATGTCGTGAACTTGGATTCCTTGAAGTCAGTTTTTCCAAGTTCATGGCCCACTTTGCTACAGCATCAGAGCGAAGCATGCCTCTCTAGGTTCTCCAGTGACAGATCCTGAAGCATGGACTAGCATGCTCTCTGGAGCTCAGCACTCCAGGGCTGGATCCTGATGGGTCTCTAAGGTCCCTCCAAGAAGACAAGGACAGGAGGCTTGGGAAGGACCAATGGTAATTTAAGTGGCTCTTAAAAAGTCATGCAACATGAACATGTTCCTGATCCTATTGCGATAATATATGTATGCCCTCCTTATGAGCACACCACTTGGGCATTAGGACTGAAATTCCTAAGTTCTTCCTCTCAAAATTTCTGTGCATCAGTATTATTCCCATTTTACATAAAGGAGGCAACTAAGACTCCTACAGGACTCAATCGAGTAAGAGGCTTAAAAGGATAAACTGGAGCAGAAATAAGCCTTAGGTGCTGCCCAGTTTACACTTCCTGGGATGATTATTTTTGCGGGGAGGGGACAGAGTCTTGCTCTGTCACCTAGGCTAGAGTGCAGTGGTGCAATCTTGGCTCACTGCAACCTCTGCTTCTTGGATTCAAGTGATTCTTGTGCCTCGGCCTCTCAAGTAGCTGGGATTACAGGCACACACCACCATGCCTTGCTAAATTTTGTATTTTTGGTACAGACGGGGTTTTGCTATGTTGGCCAGGCTGGTCTCGAACTCCTGACCTCAAATGACCCACCCATCTCAACCTCTCAAAGTGCTGGGATTGCAGGCATGAGCCACTGCACCCAGTCGATAACTTTGTTTTTGAAGACTCTGTCATTGAACTTGTCTATGGCAATGCTTCTTTCACAAGCACAGACTGGGGTCAACTCTGATAGATTGAGGTTACTAGAAATTGGCCAAAAAAGCAGAGAAAAGAACATGAGGTAGGCTTAAAGAACTTCCTTTATGTAAAGATTTGTGAATCTGAAATATCCTCCAGAAGGAGAGTGCACCTGAGAATGATATTTAAACTAAGAAAAATGTTTAGTCTGAGACGGAAGATAAGCGAATGAGTGATGTGAGAGGCGAGGGATGGGTAGGTGGCTTCCAAATACTTCACCTATGAACGCATAATTTTCAGATATTTTTCCTCTAGATTTTGAGGGAGCAGAGAAGCTGGAAAAAATTTTAGTCAGTATCTCATGTTTCATTTTAATTGAGTGACAGGTCCAAGAGTGACATCCTTCAGCACCTAGGGACAAGAGAGGGGAAAGATGCTTTATGGAATGTAAGAAGATGAAGGTGACTGGGATTCAGTGAGAGGTCCTTCAGACCTGGGTCGCCCCTTAATAGGGAAAGACCATATTCCATTGGTTTAGGGCTTTACCTTAAAAGCTTATTTTTTTTTTCATTCTTCCATTCCTAGGAAAGTACTTAAAACTAGCATTTTTTTTTTTTTTTTAGACAGGGTCTCACTCTGTCTTCCAGGCTAGAGTGCAGCGGCGCAATCTCAGCTCACTGCAGCCTCAACTTCCCCAGGTTTAAGCAACCCTCCCACCTCAGCCCCCCAGGTAACTGGGACTACAGGCGTACACCACCACACTTGGCTAATTTTTGTATTTTTTATAGAGATGAGGGTCTTGCCATGTTGCCCAGGCTGATCTTGAACTCCTGGGCTCAAGCAATCCACCAGCCTCAGCCTCCCATAGTGCTGGGACTGCAGGTGTAAGCCACTGTGCCCAGCCCAAAACCAGACCCTTGACACTAATGTGAGAGTCTGATTTTGTTGAAGAAAATATTTGCAATAAATTCAACGCTCTTCTTACTGGTAATTTTCCACACCATCTCTCTGAAATAGGGAAGAGAATATAGGCCTGTTTTTAACTATAGTTAGGAAAATTGACCTGAGTTGGTGTGAATTTTTTCCAGTCCCATAGCTCACAGATACCACGGCTTGCAGCACTGGCAATATGCTTACACCCGCTCCGTTCTCCTGTGTGGTCCAATAGCTCATGTATCTAAGTTGAACCAGCCAGTATGCATGATTGCCTTTTTCTCTTCTTTTTTAAAAACCCAACTTGGATGCTGCTTGCATGACCTTTAATGAAGCTGAATGATGCCTATCACTTATTTATCCATGACAGGTTACCTTCCCTACTCTTTCTTTTCCTAACTTCTCCACTCTTCTCATTCTTGACAATTTCATTGGAACTATATAGTTTACAAAGTATTCACTTAACTATTTTATTTCTTCTTTTTAACTGGTCCTGTGAGGTCAATATTATTAATGCTTACATTACAAAAGAAGAAACTGATGCTCTCTGAGTTTAAGTAGCTTTACTAAATTATAAGGAAATCTAGCTGGTAGGTAGACAGCAAGAATCCAGATCTTCTGACTCCTTTTTCAGTTCTCCTTCCAGTTAGACCATAGCTTCTTCCTTTTCTTATTTTTTAGCTCCCATCTCACCATTGCCTATCTTGCCTGTCCTAATGTTCTCCATCTTCTCTCACCCATCATCCCACTCACTGCTTCTCTACCACTTTGCTTTTTGGTGGATGCTAGCAATGTGTTTTGAGAGTCGGTCCTATTTTGGTTCTCTTTCTAGTTGGTTTGTATATCATTACTCCTGAATTGCAATTAAATTCCCTCCTGGGAGACTTGATCATGACTATAAATCTACAAGGTACTGTGATCACCAGCCTACTTCCAATCTCCACCCACCTCCCCGTCTCTTCCCGTAATCCTACAAAAGACCCAGACTAGATATGTATTTCTCTGGAAGCTTTATCGGGCATGATGTTGCTTGTTAAAGGGCTTAGAAGAGTTCTCAAGGGCTATTACTATCACTTTAGAAACCCCATCTGTTGTCTTGGTGCTGGATATTTCCCATGTCTCATCCTCAGTGACACAATTCACTAACGGCCAAGCTTGGCTCAGTCTGATTTTCCCGTTCTTACTGCTTCACAGCCATGAATGTGATTGCTCGATCCAGTTGGCCCTGAGAGCACCTTTCCCTGCTGACCTTCACTGTCACCTCATTTTTGTATCAGAGCCCCAACCCAAATACTCCATGCCTGTCCCTACCCCAGCCTTTATTCTCACCACTTGTTTAATAGCAAGCTCCTTTAGTTTCTCCATTCCTAAACACCCACACACCCAGACTCCCTTCTGAGTTTCAGGTTTCTCCTTAGATGTCCAACTAGAAATATTACTAGGAAAGTTACTTTTCAAAGCAAGAATATGCTGCGAAGTGTGTAGAGCAGTGCATGGTTAAGAGACAGCAGCTTCCTCCTCTCCTCCCAAAATTACTGGATCAAGAAAGAAATTCTACACATCTCAGAGGGAAAAGGCTGTGCAACTGCATCTTTGTAGGAAGAAAGAGAAGCAAGAGCTAGACACACTTCAGAATATATCTTAGTTTCTCCTTTCCCAGTTTAACATGAAAATGAAAACAAAAAAAGAAGCCTTCCTCTCACCTCATTTTGTAATAAAAAATCCCCAATCCAGTGAATTCGCCTAGTCACTGCAAATGTAGCTGAATAGTGCTTGGTGTGCTTGCCAACCTGATCATCCACTTGCTGTACGAACATCTTTTAGCACCCACTCTGTGAAGTGCTAGTCTAGACCGTTAGTGTGCCATGCGGTCATAGATCTGAAAAACAGCATCATCCAAACCTTACTTAATCTCTAAGATCTCAGCTGGTGGACAGCTCATGATTAGCTCAGCCCAATTCCTACCCCTTAGTTGAGTTTGCAGCAGGACGCAGGAGATAAGCACTTCCAAGCAAGTCTGATTGATACATCAAACTCGGCCTCCATCCCAGGCCAGCTAACCCTCAGAGCCAGCAGTGCTCTATGCTTCCTCCCTGTGTCACTGCTTGGCAAGAGCTTCCTCTGCTGGGCAGTGTGTGTGATGGAGAGGGAGGCCGCTGAAGGCTGAGTGCTTTCAGGCTTGTGAACCCCCATCGAACACAATCTGCAAACTCTTAGTCTTGCAACAGATGGAACTATTTTCCATGTTATCATCTTCATACTGCCTTTTCTTGATTTTCCACAGCCAATCTTTTTCCAAACTTGAGAAATGTTCCTGACCATCTAAGCCCTCAACAATGTAATGCCTGTATGTGGTGTTTTTCAGTAAACTCCTTGTTCATGTCAATAAAGTACCCGTAAAAACCACTCTCTTTGGTTTTTGCCCTACTTACTCAGTGTGTTTGCCCCATAGAATATGGCTTCCCCAGCACCTCAGCCTGCTTCAAATTCCTGTACCCAATCTGTGGATATGCATGAGAATGAAAATCATGTAATAGCCTCACAGAAAACCACACTAAACGTGTGATCTAGCCTCTCCGCTTCCCTTTCCTGCTCTACTCAATACGAAGGAATACAAGAGTCACTTGCTTTCTTGCCTGGCATTAAATAAGTTTCCTAACCAGGTGGCAAGGAGCTCCTTGCAAGGCCAAGGCAGACCTAATGAAGGGAAGAGCCAGCCTGGCTCTCAGCTCCACCAGTTTAGGTAACATGAAAAAAGAAGACAAAGCAGTCTCTCAACATCCATCTTCCTAGAAGTGTTAAGGCCTGAAGAGGGAAAAGGTCAACAAGAAACCATCACGGAGATTCACAGTCCACCACAATCTCCTGCAACAGTAGTACTGACTCATAAGATTAAAAATCATCCCAACACTTTGGTAGGCTGAGGCGGAAGGATGACTTGAGGCCAAGAGTCTGAGACAAGTCTGGGCAACACAGTGAGACCCCATCTCTAAAAAAATAATAGCCTGGCATGGTGGTGTGTGCCTGTAGCCCCAACTATTTGGGGGCCTGAGGTGGGAAGCACACTTGAGCTCAGGAAATCAAGGCTGAAGCCTGGGTGACAGTGAGACCGTCTCAAATACATATAGGCATATATAAAATCTATTTATATATATATATATAAATCTATTTATATTTATATATATGTATTTATGTATATTTTAGTACACCAGCTGTCATACTAAGAACTATGTGTTTTTAAGTGCATTATCTCTGAAACACTGAGACTTGCAGTGATAGATGGGGCATAAGGTCACACAGTTGGTAAAGACTCAGGTCTGACTCTAAAACTTATCCATTCCAGTTGATCAGGCAGCCTCCGTCCAGTGAGAAGGTGGATGGCTATGTGCATGTGAGTGTGTGTATGTGTGTGTGTGTGTGTGTGTGTGTGTGTGTATACAAGCATGCCTACAAACATGCCTTCAGGCCTTGCTGTGAGCCAATCTGGGACGACCAGAAACATCCCAGGTGATGAGCACTCATAAATCAAGCAATAAACACGCACACCATTTATTTTTGTAGTTCAATACTTTTTCTTTTTAATTCATACTGTACTTCCATGGCTCTAGCTACTTTACATTAAGATTTGGCTGGGCAGCCTTGTGTGTTTCTAGGTACTAGCAGTAAGTGTTCCAACCTTGCGCACAGCGCCAGGCAAAGTACAGTTATAGATCCAAATACACACGGGCAGACAACTCAACTGCAGTCGACCTGCGTTCTTTCCCATAGACGGCCCAGTGCAGGTGCTGGGGCTGCGCCCTCTGCCTCACCCCACTCCACCCCATGTCAGGATTATCCAGGGGCCACTACGGCCTCTGACCCATCCCTCCCCACCTTGGAGTCTAGGTTGAGTTGGGGGAAAAAGCACCATGGGTTTGGGAAGATGGTCTGGTCCATGCAGAGAGTAGTCTGGCCCTTGAGTGCAGGGGAGGAAAATGTGGAGAGCCACAAGCGATTGTTGGCAAAAATGGCTGCTTTGACTATGCAATCTTAGCACATGGCACCCAAGCCCCAGGCCGATGCCCCAGACAGAGCCAGCTGCCTTGCCTGGAGCAGAGGCCACCATTTTGCTTCTGCAATGTCTTATTGTACTGAGAGAAGCAAGGAGGGCTGAAAAATGACAATGTTCTTTAAGCCTTCAGAAGTTGGGGAGATCGTCCAGCATCAGCTCCTCTCGGCAGGCAAGGTGCTGCTCATCAGCAGCCAAGACTCCAGTCTGGGCCCCGAGGCCTGCTGAGGATCTCAAGTCACAAGACCCCGGAGCTGTCGCACAGAACATCAAAACAGGGAGCTGGCTGGGCCCTTCACAGCCATGACCAGAGCAGAAGTGAGGTAACAAGGCTGGGCAGAGAGGTGGGAAGCGAGCTCTCAAAACCAT